TCACTGGTTACCCAGTACACAAAAATCTATCTATCTATCTATCTATCTATCTATCTATCTATCTATCTATCTATCTATCTATCTATCTATCTATCTTATACCGTCCTCAATGAAATAAAGTTACTACATTAAATTCATTAACGTATTATATTTCATATATAATATAATGACATAGTAACAGTTACAAGGTCGAAAATTAATTAAAAATGATTTAGTATTAAAACGATCGAGAAATATAGACACGTTTTTTAGCAGATCTGAAAATGTGGATGTGTTTTTGACAGTACAAGCCTCTAATCATGGGGGGGATACAGAAACACGTTTGGTATTGGATTTACAGTTTGCATATTGTCAAAAAAATGCCTCATTATAAATATGTCAATTACGTTTAACCAAATTCGAGTTACACCAAAATGCCTTTAATAACAAACATAAAACGCCAATACATTTGGGTAATTTACATAATTAGTACGGAGAGTGTTGATGGATCGCTGGGACTTGCTGTCGCTTGTTTTCTACTGAAAATCAACAATTCCAACTGGTTTAAAATTCATTCAATATAAAGAATTTATTATAATAAATCTTGTCGCTTTTGTTGTCATTCGTGATGATGATGAATACGGGACAATATCCTTACAGATAACTGGGAGACTTGAAGCGACAGAGATGTGGTTCTACAGAAGGGTGCTGAAAATACCATTGACGACGCATGCGAGCAACGAAGAAATTGTAAGGAAAATGGAAACGAAACAGCCGTATATACTTAAAATCAGAAAGACACAGTTGAAATTCCTGGGACACATACTGAGGAAAGAGAGCTTGGAGAATTTGACACTCACAAAATATAAGGAGAGTAATTGTTTAGAGGAGAACAGCGAGTAAGATAACGAGTTTGAATAACGAGACAGAATAGGGACCGGAATTGATGTTAAGGGGAAAATTGCGCAGTACTATAAAAGATAAGAGGCTGTGGAGAGCTATATGTTCAGACGAGTTACATTCCTTTTGTTCCACCATTTCATGCCTTCACGGGTAGGAATCGCCATGCCATGTTCCAGGTGGCAAATCATACATATTCTCTTTGTGTTCTTTTGATAAGGAGTAAGTTCCACTCAGGCAGCTTTTTTACCCAGAACGGTTACTTTGTGAAACAGACTTCCTTGACAGTAACAATGTTGGTCTCTTCAAGTTCAGGGTCATAATGTGTATTTTTATTAATTCCTACACCATCTTTCCTGACAGCAATCCCGCTCAGTAACTCTCTACATTGAGTGACTTTCGGGTCTTATATTGGATTAACTTACTGTATAAAAATAGCACATGTTCACATAAAAGAACTACGATGATGATAGCGATTTATTAAAGTTTATGTGCATCTATTCACCAATTGTAAGATGATAATATATGGTTGTTAGCAAAAGGGACAGATCAACATGCAAATTACAAATTGGGGATACCAAAATCAAACATGTACAACAATTTGAATATCTGGAAAGTGTTTTAAAAAAAGGAAAGTGCGACACTGAAATCTGAAGGCACATTGGGATAGTGAAAGATGCCTTCCAAAAGCTTAGCAAAGTATTAAGAAACAGACAAATATTCGTTATAAACAAAGAAAAGAGTACTGAACTGTTATGCAATATCAGTCCTCCTATATGGCAGCAAATGCTTGACTATCTCCCCACAAACGGTGAAGAGACATGAAGCAACAGAAGTGATGTTCAACAGAAGGACGCTGAGAATACTATGGACCGATTTAATATTATTAACTTAGGTTAAACACTATACACTGAACATTTCAGATCAAAAGTCAACTAATAACTGTGCTAGGCTACATATTTATTGATGAGGCCTCATATATCTTCGGTTCATGCTATATTCATTTCAAATTTGATATTGAAATATTTTTGAGAAATACCGTATGTATTTTTGTTTTCTTGGAAATAGCATGCTGGCTTTTTCTTTAATAAAATTGGAATGGTTGCATTTTAAACACTAAATGTGTTGTGTTTATAAGACATGAACAAAGTATTAAGAAATAAAAATATTTCCTTAGAAACAAGGAAAAGTGTACTGAACTGTTACATAATACCAGTCTCTCTATATAGCAGTGAATGCTGGACAATCTTCTAATACACGAAGAAACGACTCGAGTCAGCAGAAATGTGGGTATACAGAAAGATGCTGAGAATGTCATGGACCGAACATGTGATCAACGACGAAGTTTTCAAGACAATGGAGACAAAAAGAAGACATATTAAACATAATGAAAAGTCAATTGAAATTTCTAAGGCATATAATGAGGAAAGAGGGCTTGGGAAATTTGATACTCACAGGACAGATCAAAGACAAGAGAGACAGAGAAAAATACTGCATAGCCTACCTGGCGGGCTTGAGTGAATGGATGGCAGAGCAGGGTTTGAGAAAGGTGGCGAAAAGACAGTATTTATTGAGAGCTTTATATTTTACAGTAGGGTTCAACCTGTACAAGTCCCGAGAGCCACTCTAGGTAGAAGGATACGTTATGGGGCAGTTTATACGGATGTGGGGGGGGAGGTAACGATTAACTCGATACTTGAACATGTTAAGATTGTAGTGATCGGGGGAACATCCTCTTGGGAGGCTGTTCCACATAGCAATGGTTCTCGGGAAGAAGCTGTTCCAGTGGAACTTACTTCTGACTGATGCAACACGGACGGAATGTGGGTGATTTGCTATAATGTAAATGGCATATCGTATCCTAGCCGTGAAGGTTAAACCTGGCGGGACCTAGGAATGTATTTTGTCCGAGCACTTTCCATGGAAGTAGCCATAGAGCGGTGTAAGCCTCATCACATCCCGCTTGTGGGAGCTTGGGGGGTGGAAAATAATTCGCCGCTCATAAACTTAAGACGTTGCTACACGAGACGCTTTTGAACTCTATCAATACTGGAAAGTGGAGACTGAGCAGCTCCCGCTCAAATATGACAACAGTATTTCATTCTCGGCCTGATCTGGCTCTTGTGAAGGTAGAGATTAGCACGAGGAGTCAGGTTCTTACTGCAGCGGTACAGGGAGCCTGTCATTTTACCTGTATTTTTATTCTTTTAAAGCACAGTTCTTCCTCGAAGAGACATCAGTTTATCCTGACTGGCGGTAATTCAGAGTCCGGTTGGCGGTGATGGAATGTAACTAATGCTACAAAGGATAGGAGGTTGCGAAGAGCCATGATCACCAACGTCCTGAATCTGTCTTGATTTTAGTTATTATAAGGATTTAATGCGGTTTTATTCGTAATGAAGCGAAGGATAATCTCTATTGTTGCTGATAATATTCATTTAGTTAGGCTAACTTGTTTTTTTTTTGTCATGCAACGAATTTTAGAATGTGATTATGTTTTCTTAAATCATTTTATTTACAAACACTTTTCTTATCGTGCCATGAATGTTTTAAATATTAGTGGTAATTTGTGTCCATGGAGAAAAAAAAAAGCAAAAAAAAGTGGTAGATCAGCAAAATTTGTGTGGTTTCTCTTAATGTTGTTTCTCAAAATAATATTGAGATAATTAGGTTTGGTGTAAAGAGAGTAAAAAAGTAAAAACTGAAGAGAACTGTATAAGAAACAGAGAAATAGAAAAAGAAAACTTGAAAAGGAAGAAAGCAGAGAAAATGGATGATTTGAAAGAGAGAAGGAAAATGTGAGTAATATCTTTTACAGAAGACGAGTGAGGAGAAAGAGGATAGGAAAAAGATGGAACAGAAACAGAAAAAAAAAAGAAAGATAGAAGAAAAGAAAGGAATAAAAGAAAGAAAGAAAGAAAGACAGAAAGACTGGAGAAAAAAGAATAATGCGATTAGAAGAAAGTAATTTAACTTTCTTCTCATTGTTGTTTCTCTTTCTTTTGTTCATTTTTCCTATTCTTTTTCTTTTATTCTTAAAAAAACGGCAAAGCAGAAGACAATAAAGATGTGGAATTAATAAAAAAGAGAATAACAGAAACGAAGAACATTGAAAGAATGAAAAAAAAAAAAGATATAAAAATCAAAGAAGAAGGCAAAAAGAATGAAAAAAAAGTTAAAATTTAAGGAAGTAGGGAATGGAAAAAATAGAAAGAAAATTAAAGAAAAGGTAAAAGAAAAATCGGAGAGGAAAAGAAGAAATTGAATAAAGAAAGAAATGGAATTCAGATTGAAAGAAGAAGAGAATGAAAGCCACCAAAGAAAAAAAAAAAAAAAAAAAAAAGAAAAGAAAAGGTGAATGTGGAAAGATAGAATGAAATATCGAAAAATAGAAAATTCCAAAGTAAGAGAAATCGGTGATGAAAAGAAGCTTTGTTTGAAGAATACAAAAAAGAATGATAAAAGAAGAAGAAACTGATTGTAAGGAAAGGAAAAAAAAAAGGAAAAACTTGCAAAGAGAATCGACAATGTGGATGGTTTCAAAAAACAAAGTAAAAATAATGTATTTCAGGGAAGAAGAGAGAAAAAAACCAGAGAATTGTAAAAAAAAAGAAAGAAAGGAAAACACGTGAAAAGTGAAGAAGAAAAATCACAAAGACGAGAAGAGAGTTCACATAAAAGAGATAAAGAAGAATACAGTATAGTAAGTAAAAAAAAAGAAAAAGTGAAATTAATAAAAAAAAGAGAGAGGAAAGAAACAAAGATGTCATAAAATCAAATTCAAAGTAGAAAAAAATTTAAGGAAGGGAGGAATGAATAAAAAAGAATTATAGAAAGAATATAAAATGAAAGAAAAATTAAATAAAGCTCAAATAATAAAAGTAAGTAATGAATAAATAATAAAGGAAATTGAATTGAAATTAAAAGAAAAGCGGAATGATAGACAAGAAATAAAAGAAAAAAATGCAGAAGAAAGGAGAAAATGAATAAAAAAGAAAATTCAAAATAAATTAAGAAAAGAATGGAAATGAATGAAGGCGATTGCAGCAAAAACTAAAAATATAACTAAAGAAATTATATCAAGATATGATGAAAGAATGAATGAAAGTAAATGAAAACGTCTACAAAATGAATAAATATTTGGTTACAGAACCGAAATTAAAAAAATAAATAAAAAAGAATGATAGAAAAAAAAGAAAGAATAAAAAAGAAAAAGAAGGACAGATAAAAATAGGAAGAAAAAAGCAGAGGATAGAAAAAGCAACAAAGACTCTATACTGTGTTCAATTGGAACAGCGGCCTCCAGCATCGGAGAAAGCGTTCTCCATGTTTATGACGATTAGATCAAGCGCTCTGGACTGGAATAGAGATCTGTTTGAATTTGAAACTTTTCTTCTGATGTTAGGAACTAAACAAAGAGATGAAAGTAATTAAAAAGAAAAAGATTAGACAGACGGAAGGAAAGAAGAAAGAAAGAAGTGAAAACTGGACGGAGAAAAAGAAGAAAACAAAGACGTCAAATGAAAAAACAGAACGGAGACCAAAAAAAAAAAAAAAAAAAAAGAAGCGGGAAGCGGTAAAACCTGAAGAAAGCGAATACAGAAAATGGAAGAAAATGATTAAAAGAAGGAAGTGGACAGATAAAGAAGAAAATGATACGTGGTCAGTAAAGACGTGAAGAGTAAGATAGAAAATAAAAGACAGATAGACACGGAAATAAAGATAGCTGATAGGTTGAAAGGCCTAAACACACAGACAGGAAATAGATATATACGATATAATCCACGAAAAAGAAGACGGAAAAGAAGAAATCTAAGAAGGAAAAGACGAGAAAAATAAGATAGAAAGGAAACGGATTCAAATAACAATTACAGAAAAGAAACAATAATCTTTCTTTTTTACTATATAGTGATTTTACAAGGGTAGCTAAGATGTGGCACAAGGCCGAAATTAGGGGGCACCCAGTGAGGATCGAACTCACTACTCATTCCTAATTGTTCTAGCGAGACAAGCTTGCTAACCATTACAACACATCGAGGTGCCCACAGCGATTTTCCAAGCGTAGCATAGATGTGGCACAAGGCCGAAATTAGGAGGTACCCAGTGAGGATCGAACTCACTACTCAGTCGTAATTGTTCTAGCGGGACAAGCTTGCTAACAGTTACACCACATCGAGGTGCCTACAGTTATTTTCCAAGCGTAGCTTAGATGCGGCACAAGACCGAAATTCGGAGGATCGAACTCACTACTCAGTCGTAATTGTTCTAGCGAGACAAGCTTGCTAACCATTACACCGCCTCGAGGTGCTCTAACTTTTTTTTATTATATAATTATTATTTGAAGCCGTCTCGTGTCTATTTTCTCTTTCTTATTTTTCTCGCTTGAAACAATGGAACAAAGGAAAGAAATGAATAAAGAAAGGGGAAAAAAGGAGGGAAAATAAAAGATAAACTGTACTAAAAAAGTTTAAAAGAAATTGAAAGGAAGAAGGAACAAAGGAATGAGTAAAGGAATCAAATGAAAAATATTAAAGAAAGTAAAAAAAAAGAAAAAAAAGAATGAAATAAACAACGCAAAGGAGGGGAAAATGAAACAATATGTAAGAAAAGAAGAACTAAATATAGAGAAAAAAGAATAAAGCGAAGGAAAGAAGTGAAGAAAGAAAGAAAAGAAAGAAAATGAAAAAAGAACCAAAGAGAAGGAGAAAAAGGAAAGAAAATGAAAAAGAAAGAAAGGAGACAATTGAAAGACAATGAAAGAAAGAACGAATTGAAGGAAAGTGAAAAATGAAAGATAGTGAAAGAAAGAAAAGAAAAATGAGGGAAAAAAGAACCAATGAAAAAAGAAATAAAGAAACAAAAAAAAAAGCAGGAAATTGCGGAAACAAAACAATGACATAAAAATAGAAGGATAAAAATGTATTTTTTTTCTGAAATATTTGCAAACATCTTCCATCGATTACAAAGTGCGTCTAAAATAAAAGAAGAAATAACGACAATAGCAGAATGTAGATTATATTTACGGTGCAAGTGCAGTTGATGCTGATGATGATCTTATTGAAAACTGATCAAAATACATGGCAATGGAGATGATGATCAATGAAAGGCTGTTAATCTGATAACAATAATTACAATAATGAGAAGAAGAAAAAGTAACATCAGCAGCAACAACAACAACAGTAATAATAATAATGATAATAATAATAATGGATACTAAGTCGCAGAAAATTGGTACGAGTATGTGCCTTTCAGAACAGTAGAAAAAAATGGAAAGCCCGCAATATTCTAGAACTAGGATTGTCAAACAGACTTATACACCATCGCCGTCCGGATATTATTGTGCTAGACAAAGAGACCAAGAATTCTCATATTATTGATGTTGCCATAGCAAATGACAGAAATGCAGCAAACAAGGTGATTGAGAAAATTATAAACTACTTCGATTTGTAAGTTGAGCTGTCAAGATTGTTTGGAATGAAGGAAGGGGATGTCAAGGTGATTCCGCTGCTGACTGGCGCATTGTAATCATTCCCATTAAAACTGTGTGACCAGCTGGCAATACCATATCAACTTGGACTAACCAAAAAATTGGCTCTTCTTGGGATAAAATTTGAGGAACGTGTTCACTGCCAGGGGCCCTTCTTGTGATTTGACAGATAATAAAATTGGTGAATTCAAAACGTTACACTGAAAAACACAAAATAATAATAATAATAATAATAATAATAATAATAATAATAATAATACACATGGGTATGATTTTTTTTACAATTCATATATTTTAGAGGTGCCAGCAATTTGATCCAGACATTGATTTACTCCATTTTGATAACATTCAATAACAACAGGTAATGTTGTTGCCTTGAGCCTTGAGATGTTATAATAATAATAATAATAATAGTAACTATGATTTTAGAACGCAGTGATATACCGTCGCCGTCCAGATATTATTGTGCTAAATAAAGGCACCAAGAAACAATTATTGATGTTGCCATAGCAAATGACAGAAATGTAGCAAACAAGGTGATTGATAAAATTACAAACTACTCTGATTTGAAAGTCAAGATTGTTTGGAATGAAGAAGGGGATGTCAAGGTGATTCCACTGCTGATTGGCGCATTGAGGTCATTCGCATTAAAACTGTGCTGACCATCTGGGGATACCATATCAACAATAGCATGATAAGCCTCTTCACGGTCAATACTCTGCCCGTACCAGATAAACTGATTTAGACAAACCCCGTACCCCTTAGTGGTTATGTAGTTCCGGGTTAAAAGCTGAAACCCAAGGTTTTATTTTGGCTGAACAGGATCAATGCTTGCTCCTTAGAAATTACCAAGCATACATACTGAAAAATTGTGTTAACCCGAAATGCAGATTTTGTGATTAATATCCAGAAATAATTGACCATTTTTTATCAGGTTGCACAGTGTTAGTATCAGCTCAATATAAAACTTGGTATGATAGAGTGAACCAATACTTGCACTGAAAAATATACAACTTTTACTGGAAGGAAACTGCAAGAAACTGGTATGAACATCACGCTTCCCGGTTATTGAGTTTAGTTTAACAATTTTATGGGACTTTACAATACACAATCGCCCTGACATCGTGACCAAAGGCCACAAGAAGAGAATGTGTTTTCTTATTGACATGACAGTACCTGCAGATTGTAATGTATCTTTGAAGATCTTCAAAAAGCTATCAAAATACGAGGATCTTGAAGTGGAAATCTAAAGAATGTGGTACATGAGGACATCAATATCTCCAGTCGTAGTTGGTGCCCTCGGATTGATTGGAAAAGTTTCGATAGACTCTTTGAAGGGATTCCTGGAAGCCCTTGTATTATGGTGTAGAACCATAAAAAGATAACACGGACTCGGATATAAGGTTAAATAGTATATTCTGGGAAACGTAGTACAAAGGTAAATGTGGACTGGAGAGTACTTTCCCTCACTGATGTCCTCACTCACTCACTCACTCACTCACTCACTCACTCACTCACTCACTCACTCACTCGGTGTCTACTACTCGGTGACCCTCACTTGGTGACTTCCTCTACTCAGAGTTGGTAGCCATATTATATAGGTGTGGAAGAGTCCATTTGTTGGTAGTTCCCCACAACACCTTGCTTTAAAGAAATAAAGTTAACTGTACTCACAAGTACAGCTCATATATTACGAAGAACTTTATCTATGTAAAATGTGTGTGATGTTCAGGTTTTTTTTTTACAAAAAATGATCAGTGGAAAATGTCACGAAGGCATTCCTGACCTTAGATCTCCGGTTGGGACCCAGATGGAAATATGTACACTAGCGGAATCCAAGCAAATAATAATAATAATAATTGTTTTGGATTCCGAGATGAAATTCGGTCTCCAATGAATGACAAACGCAAGAATTAAAGATAAGAAATTAAATGTATTTACACAAAAATACAATGGGTAATACTGTTAGTAAATCCAGGAACGCGGTTAGTAGCAATAACAAATAGATATATACAGTCTCGAAGTAGGAATTCCTTAGAGTCGGGTATGCTTGTAACTGACTTCTACAAGCGGTTACCTCACACTATTACTCTACCTCCAACTCAATCACACTCTCTATCTCCGTTCGTATATTCTAACTGACTGTGGGTATTTTAACGGCAGCAGTCCAGGTACCCTGGTAGAGTCCACTTATATGAAAAAGGGGAGGACCCCATAGCAATAATAATAATAATAATAATGACGGGTTTGCATAGAAGAGTTAAAAACAGGGGACGTTACTCTCGTTAGCACATGACACATACATATACGGTAAGTATTTTTTGTAATACCTTGTCGCTTCAGAAAGTTGTCGGCCAAGACTATCCACAGATAACGTTTCTTAATTATCTCTGAATTGTCGTGTGTTAGAAAATATAGCGGAGTGATTTTTAGTTGCTTTCTACACGATTTAGAATTCATAGCTTTCCTTCTTTTAGACTGGTTACCACCCAAAGAGGTCCCGGTCTATTCTACTTACACAAATACGGATATTGGTTTTTGGTTGGTTTGTGGAATTTTAAGACATATTAAGCTTTGTTGGGGTATTTACGGAGATTTCCATCTTACTGTACATGAATCTATAGGTAAACACTGGTCCGGTTTACACTTGATTTCGTAAGCATTTACTCGAACGGTGATCTATTGTCTTGTGGGCTACTCCACTGTTGGAGATGCAGCGTTTTTTTAGGATTTGCCGACAGGTCAAGCGGATATTGGTTTAAGACGTTGCTACACGAGAGTAACAAAACACGAAAGATTATTTCAGAAGCTTCTACACTACCCAAAGAAAATTTCAGAATGGATGACTATAGACTTAACAAGCCTTATAAAAAGACACTGAAAAACGAACAATTACAGACCAATCACGTGCCTACTATTGATGTAGAAAAAGTAGACAAATAGAAGAAAAATACAAATCGATGTCTGACCAGAAGGATGTAAGGGACGTGGGAATGAGATCAAAGGAATATATGATCTCATTCTACCAGATGACACTCATGAGTATCCATTGTGTCCAAATGGCGAAAATGGAATAAAACATACGATATTGCAAATTGTCACAATAATGCGTATATTTGACTGTGATAATGATGATAATAATAATAATCCTTAAGGATGTTTTTATTCAAACAGATCACCCAATTCATGCCATATGACCTGATCTAGTAATATTCATGCCAAAGAGTTGTTTCCGAAGTTCCGACAGATCACAGATTAGCCCTGACAGTGAGTAAAAAAAACAAACAAAAAAACTCGACCTTGACAGGGAACTGAGAAAGTTGTGGAACAGTCGTGTCGTTCGTTACTGGGTGCCACGCTGATCAGTCCCGATGAGCCGAGGGAAAAGGCATGATGAATTGGAAAGTAGGGAAAGAGCCGTCACCATTTAGATGATAGCATTCGTGACAGCAGCTAGAATAATTAAAAGTTTGAACGTGGAGAATTGCTGTCCCTTAACCTCCAGTGTAAGCGTTGCGCGAACACTCATATATAACTGTAATAATAATAATGACAACAATAACCACAAAATAATAATAATGATGACAACAACAACAATAATAATAACAATAATAATAATAATAAAAATAACAATAACGATTACAACACTTATAATAAGCACAATAAAAATAATAGCAACAATAATAGCAACAACAATAATAACAATAATAACAACAACAATAATAATTAAAACAACAATAATAACAGTAACAAATACAAGAACAATATTAACACTAACAAGACACCACCAATAATATTAACAACTAGCAGCATGACCCGGTGTTGCCCGTGCTTGATTCAAAAATCGTACGACTCATACAGCAATCGCTATCACTTGACTTAAAATATTTTTGCCCTTCCTTGCCTTTAAAGGAGTGCCCTTTGCCGTGCTGATGTTGCTACATGCCTTACTTCTTGCCTATCTCACACTGCGAATTTTTTCTAAGCTCTATAACATTAAATCTGTTACGAAAAAAGAACTAAACAAAATGAACACAAAACGATCAGCTTTAAAAAAAGGACTCGTAACTGGAAAAACCGAATGAAAAAAGAATGTTAACAGCAAATACTTTTTCACATCCAACCCAGTTCTGCGGAATCAGAATCAACGTTGAGTTTAAGCAAGCGAATGAGCCAATTGGAATAAAGTGCCATGCAGATTTAAATTTTTCCCACTTGTGACGAATGCAGCTATCGATTTTTGTGCATGCTAGCATGCTAATTAACATTCGTGTCAGTCAGCTGTTGGCTGGCCAATAGAATCTTCCTGCCTATTCGTGGCAGTCAGCTATAAACTCTCACTCTGGCCAGTACAAAATGGCCGCAAACTACATGAAAACTGCCGTAGAAGCATGGAAAATCGATTATTTCCACTATCGATGGCAGTTGGAAAATGCAAAGTCGGTCTTGGCCTTCCCGCTAACTTGGAG